GATCTACCTCTAGGATCATGATATCTGGGATGTTTCATAGGAATGGCTTCGCTTTCTCTACATCTAAAAATATCAAGACCTTTACGGAAGTCAAATGTTCCCCCTCCAAATTGAAAAGATTTAATAATTCTTCCTTTATTATGCCCTCTCTTAGATTTTCTTTTTCTTTTCACAGACGCTCGTTTACCCTTTGTACGCCGTGCCATATTTCAAAAGAAGAATGAATAAAAAGCGTGAATGTTACTTCTATTTATTCCGATTCCATAGCCTCTCGTTCCCAGTCATTACTATCGAATACGTATTGTACATAATCGTGAAAAGCTTTCATAATATTGTTTCTATGTATGATGAATTCTTCATCTTTACAAAAATTTTTACTCTGAGTTGTTTCCTTAAAATCTCTAACCGCTTTATCAAAGTTAGGGGGATGCATATAAGCCTTTGAGTGCCGTATCATTCGTCTCAGGGCATCTTCATCCGCAAACGAGATTATATCTAAAAGGCTCTCAATCTCAACCACAGCAAATTTGGGGTTATATTGAATCCCCTCTGCCATGATTATGGAATGTCCATGGGTTCTTCTATCTCTTCTCGTAATAAATGTCTACAGTGAATATAATGAGTCAATTAATAAATAGAATCTATGGATATACGACACACTTAACAGAAAAATCTCCTCTGAACAGGTGGTCTGAAGAGGGGTGTAGGCTGATGTGTGACTTGTGAATTGTGAAAAATTAAACTTCTTGAGGTATCCAGAGGTGAGGGATGCTGCCAATGTGTCGTGAAGTTTTTAAAGTAGTCTTCTCCTGAGTTTTGCTCTCAACCAACTCAAACACATTAATAATGATTAGCGTCCTCTCCTGTTTCTCGTTGAAATATAACTGACAAATTCGTCCAAGGCTTCGAAAACAGCGTTCCTCTTGTCTGTAACCTCTTGTGAGTAAATTGCGTTTCGTTCCCGCAAGAATAATGATTTAGCATGAATAATTCGTAGTAAGGAGTCCTCGTCTGCGTACAGATCAATATTATCGAGAATGTCACCTAAGTGTGATGCAGCGTGTTTTACATCACATTGATGCATGACTGCAGTTGTTGTGTGATATATGATAAATTGCGAACGGAAATTTATGATCGCGTGAGGAACTCTGACTCTATGACTCTATGACTCTTTGACGTCATTTCATTCTCATTTGTCGATTCTATAGCTTTCGTGACGTAAAATCTGTCGATTTCAATCATTGCGTGACGTCATTGGCGTTAATTATATGCATCGTCCTCTGATTAGTTCATTCCAATCAGACGCACTATTACTACTAACAGTCTATATCTGAGACAAAATATTGAACATTCGTTCATAATTTTTCGCACGATAAAGCAAGGCACGAAAGGGTTTGCCTGTTTAAACTAGTTACTGTATAACATAAATCTTTCACGGGGGGATAAACTTCGAATAACTTCTTTTGACCCGCAAGGCTACGTTAGAACCTCAAATGAATCAGTAAGTTTTTTAAAAAACTGTGGTGTTGTGTCGGTGCGGTATAACAAGATCATCTGGTTTTATCAACTGAGTCGAAACTGTAACTTGGCCACCGTAAAGGATTTCTAAAGCCCGTACGTTACAGAACGATATATTTGGGTTAACACGTCAAACTCGAATATATATATCTTATTATTAAAAACTGGATTATTGGATAATGCAATTCAAGACTTTTATTGGCTTAGCCATTATGATATATGAGCCAATATACCATAATCTACAAATATGGTAAGCGTACGCTTCAGCTTAAAATTAAAAGGGAGCTAAAAAATTTAATAAAATTTAATAATTTAATTTAACGTTTTTAATAAAACAATTGTTCCACTCACACTTGTTGGATATGAGATGATTATAGCCAACTCGGAGCTACGCACCTCGATGGCTTTCTATCATCTCATATCCAACGCGCGCTCGTGGAATAATTGTTAGACTTTTTGTTGTGTGGTATTGCTGAGTATTTTTACGAGTTGTGCCGTATTTTGACGAGCCCGTAGAGCGGGTCAAAATACAAATAACGAGTAAAAATACTCAGAGATACTACACAACAAAACGTCTAATAAGTTATTTATCATCCAACAAGCCAAATTGTTATTTCAGTGCGGGAGAATTTCGCGGATATTTATTTACGGGGAGTGCGTGACGGAAGTAAACGAAGCGGAACGGAATTGGCGTGTTGTCCTATTGCTGTTTCTATTTTCTTCAATAAATGAAGAAATTTCCCGGTTTCTAGCTTTTTTTTTTTCGTTCGATTCCTGCAATAAACTTGGATCAGCCGTTCCGACTCTTGTCGCGCGATGCGAGAAAACCTGTCTAACCGGTTCTCTGGAGTACAAATAATTTGTCTCTATGGAGTGTAGTTGGATAATAAAACGGAGTAACAACTGATCTAGTACTTCGAGGAAAAAATCGTCCTAATTCTGAAGAAAATCGATCATATCTCTCAGGGTCTTAAATGACTTCTGTGGCCCTGCATCGAGGAAAAACGATATAAACCATGTCGCCATGGTGCATAAATGAATTCACAATCGATTATTCAAATGATAAATTTCTATTTAACTGTCAGACTTAGTCGAATTACAATAGACAACTCAGATCTATTGTCAGTGATAACGTATGAAGGTGTAGTCTGATCGTCCGGGTGAGTGTAGTCCTGAGAAGGACTGTTGTCGGTGGCAGTGACTGACGTTTCGACAACCTGTGCGGAAGTCATCATCAGAGTCAAGTGAGTGATTGTTGTCAGTAGAATGTTCTTATTCCAGTTCGTGTGAAATGATCGGTTGGTTTTGTCGTGATGTTATTGGCTGTAAGACTCAAGTGACGTAAGTCGTTCGTGATTGGTCTGTTTCGGTCTGTCGGTAAAGCTAGGTTGTTCTTTTTCGGTCGTTTGTGATGTTTATGTCGTGAATGAGTCGTTTGTATGGGGCGGGTAGTTGTTGACATCTGTTTAGGGGAGTCTGTTCTAAGTTAGTAAACCAGCTTTCCAGAGTCAGTCGTTGAAAATAGTCAGTGCTGTAGGTTAGGCATTGCGCAGAGTCCCAGTCAATGTTGTGGTTGGTAAGTCGATGGTGTTCAGCAATGTGATTGCTGACATCACCTTTCCTCGTCGCCCGTCTGTGTTCAGTCAGTCTTGTTGTGAGGTTTCTGCCAGTCTCACCGATGTAGGAGGCTTGGCAGTCGGAACAATTGATCTTATAAATCGTTCCCTGTCTGTTCCTCGGTTCGTCTTTGTCTTTAACGTTGGTTAGTAACTGACGTAGTGTGGTGATGGGTTTGTGGGCGACGCGGATATTGAAGGGTAGTAAGATGCGCGAGATGTTTTCAGACATGCCTTTTATGTACGGTATGGTTGCTGTAGTCGTAGGGGTTGCGGTGTCGTTTGTTTCGGTAGTGGTAGTGGGTCGGTGAGTGTTTCGTCGGATGAAGTCGTTGTTGTAGTTGTTCTTCGTAAAAACACGGACCACTAAACTGTGTGATAGAGAAATGGCAGGGTTACAATATATTGGAGGATATGTACTGCACAAGCTTTATAGCAAGGTGAACAATGTTTACAGTCCCACAGCACATAATGAACAAACAGCTTCAATACTGAAAGCTGGCAAAGCAAAGATTTTCATGTTGCAGAGAGTCAAAACTAATTTCATCTTTAAACCGAGGTGGACTTTGGGCTATTTCTAAACAAGCTCAAACAATTTTTAAGAGAATAGAACATAATTTTAGGATTCTGAGCTCAGGAAGTCTCCAGCTGAAGATTGACAATGCTAAGATAGAAACCAAATCAGCTTGTGATGTTCATTTGGTCTCAGCGTATAACACCATGTTGTTGGACTCAGACATAGTGGTAGATAACAGCATTGCAAAAGATTATTGGACAGCATTATCTGTAGTGTATGCCGGGATATATGAAAGACTATTATAGGATAGGAACGAGAAGAAGAGAGTATGGAGTCGGAGAGTTAAGGACCGCGGTGTAATCTGGTTTAATCCGTTGTTTAGATACGCATATTAAACTCTACAATAACAACTTAACGTTGTCTGCTTTCCACCGGCCAGGAACCAAAGTTTGCTTCCTCACTCCCAGTAGAATTAAGATCTATCAACTGGCCATGTAAACTGCTTTTGAATCAATTAATTAACCTTAGAAATAAAACATCAGAAATATTTTGACGATAAAAATGAACGGTAAAACACGACGTTTCGACCGTGCTTCGGTCATTGTCAAGTGAATGAAATGAAATACAGTAAATATATGTATATTTACACGTACGAAATATAAAACATTTTTTGCAGGTGTAAACAAACAATAAAACTACAAAGAAAGTGCTAGTAAAAAGCTAATTAAAAACCTTAGCACGAATTAGCTTTTTACTTGCACTTTCTTTGTAGTTTTATTGTTTGTTAACACCTGCAAAAATTTTTTTATGTTTCGTACGTGTATATATACATATATTTACTGTATTTCATTCCATTCACTTGACAATGACCGAAGCACGGTCGAAACGTCATGTTTTACCGTTCATTTTTATCGTCAAAAGTTTTAAGAAACCCTTGCTTATCAGAAATATTGTAATGATAAATATTTCTTTCCTCTGCTGCGATTTTTGACGCAATGATGTTAATCCATTCATTTGCGTTTTTAAGAATTGATGCTAAAGAGCCCTTTTCAGGCATTGTAGTAAGTTTAGGTATGCCGAATCACAATAGCAGCCTAACAGCTAATTAGTCTCGTGCTGCTTTCATCAGCGCTCGGCGATGTAACTTTTTCTTATTCTCAGCAAATCTCTAACACAAATCGATGACTGACTCAGTACACATTGTCATGATTGCCAACGACAACACAACATACCCGGAAATATGAGAAATTTGTTTGGCTTGTTGTTTTGCCATCTGGGTCACCAGCATTTCCAACCAATCAGCGCAGTCACGGGAGAATGTATTAGGTAATCCAAGCGCTCACGTCACACACTAATGCACACATTCAGTGCTTTCAGATTTGGCGCCGAGCAGAAGTCAGCACGTCCCCAACTCAGAGTGACAAAGAGGATCCCAGCATACCTTCTCGTCATGAGTTATTCTGCCAAATTTTGTCTTGTGCTACTTTTAACATGCTTGTCGCCAATTAGGGCGCAAGGTAAGTGTTTTCGCCACCGCTGGGTTGGAATAGGTCTTAGATTAAAGAAGAACTACTTCCCAAGTTTAGAATTCATAAAAATGCAAATGCTGTACCAAACTCCTTAAAATACATGGTTAGAGCAAGATTTTTTAGCATCCGACTTTATCACGGCTTTTCCTAAAGTCGTTTGTTGAAAACATTAGAAACGCCCCAAGATGGGAAATATTTTCATTGACTTTGTACACGAAGCAATCCCATGTCGTGTCACTTTTAACTCGATTGCAATGGTTCGTTGTTAACCGAAGCTCCTGTTTCTCAGAGAGGAGTTGTTACATGTAAATCTGCAAGAAACCATTACATGTCAATTGTGATGGTTAAAAAGGGTGATGCCTAAATGTAAATATCTCCGAAATTCATGATGATTCTCGAAGGGCTTGTCTGCTGGCGTTATCAGAACCATGATTTTTCGTTTCATTTTACAGTTGTGGATGACAAACGTCCTTCAATATCAGCCTTTAAACTCGCTTTTAAAAAGTAAAGTAAGATATTTCGAACATAATTGGGTCAACGGACATGTTTAGACAGGAAGCAATGTTTTTGTCAGTGCAACCTCTGAAAATTCCGAGAAAACGACAAATGTTTCATCCAGTCTCCTTCGCCTTAATGAGATTAAATCTTTGCTATAGTAGGCTCTCTGCTTCTGAATGCCCGGCTTTAAACGGCGTTTAAAAGTAATTTATGGAGTGGAAATTGTGTCGGAATTATGGAACCCTTCGCCGACGCAATTTTTGTTTCTTGGGTAAAATTGTGCGAACGAAAGGCAGTTCGACTGTCGAGGTGTGAAGAGCGCAAACCTGGAGAATCAATGTTATAACATAGCGCGCGCGCTGGTCCTATCTAATTCCTATTGCGTCAACGTGAACGAAATCTTTATGTACGCACGGCCGTGCTCAATAAAATGACGTGTGCAGTTTCAAAATAGCTGTAAAATTTCCGTCATGTGAGTTCCTCAAGTTAAAGTTTCGGAAAGCGATAATAGTAAATCGAAGGCCAACCAAACTTTTCTTTGGCTTTCGACCTTCCTACAAGTAATCAAGCCAAAAAGCACTATACTAAAGCGAAACACAACAGGCCCGTTTCCCGAATTTATCAGAACAGGAGCTGGAGCAAATTTTAGCTGAAAGACATTCAGCAAGAATTAAGAAGACTACAAATTGGATTGTGGCGACTTTTAAAGGTAAACGTCTCTGTTGATGACGTTTTTTTGGTTACATTTGTAATTACTACCGAAAACCATTTAATTACAAAATCAACAAAACAATCGGAGACGCCAACATTTTCGGGCAACTTTCATTTCAAAAACATTACAAAAACGTCATTCTGCGCCCAAATTGTTTTCGTATGTCATAAAAGAATTGTTTCATGCATTTAGCTGTGCGTCTATCGAGTTATGGATGCACTTGGGAAGTTTGGAGAGCACTCAAGAAGCTAGAGTTGCTCTCGGCTGCGCCTCGAGCAACTCTTGCGCTTCTCTCGTGCTCTCCAAACTCCCCGCGTGCATCCATAACTCGATAGACGCACGCTAAGTATGAAACAATTTTTAAATTGTTGTCCGTTGGTAAGAAGCAAACACTTAGTAACCTATAAAAATGTAATTTAGAATTGAAATTTGCAACTGTATCTGGTGGTATTCTTAACTTCATTATTTCTTGACATAAGGAGTTCCTGAGGTCCTCGGGAACTTTCCAACGGATATGCTTTTTAGGTTCAGGTTTGTTATTGTGGTGAAAAATCTAATTATACACTGAATCAAAAGGGAGATAACAAAATGCGAAGCCCTACTCCATGGAGTACCCCATGGAGTACCCCTCATGTATTGGTCAGATAAAATACTTTAAAAAGATGGTAAATCATTTAGTTGTACACATCTTAATGCATTTTGATCTTGCCAGCTGTATGATTGTCGCAGTTCGATATAGTCCACGAATTGACCGCCATCTTGAATTTAACATTAAAACTGCTGGCCACTTCAAACGGAAGGCTTAGTGAAATGTAATCTGTGAACGTTTTCTTTAATGGACCGATTACCATCTTCATCTTTTGATCTTCAGGAGATCAAAAGTACGGACGTATTAAATCAATTGGCAGTGGGTTTTACGTCTTTAAAAGTACCTGTTTATGTAGGGTGTCTGCAAGAGGTGTTGCATTTAATCTAACACAAGTTACACAAGACCTCGTGTGTTTCTTAATTGTGTGAAGCGATGAGGATGAAAGCTAGGACTTAAAAAAAGTAATTCATGTGTGTTTAAACTGACCTTCTCTTCACCCATCTATTTGTAGCGTAATAAAATTGGGATGTGTAAAGAAACAACAACGACAAACACTGATGGGTCAGCAAACACATCTGACTGGGGTGGTTGATTTAATGGAAAATGTAGTAAGTTGAAATATTTTGCCTCGTGCAAAACTCGAAAAAGTGGGTTTTGTTCATCACAAGGAGTTTTTTTGTCTTCTGGTTGTTACGTGCGCGAATGACCAACAAATGTCCGCTAACAAAGCATATATGAAAATAGACTTCCGAGTACGATATATGGCACGCAACAAAAATGTAACAACAAGCAGTTACCCATTTTAACTATTATTTAATCAGTTTTACATTGTCTAATTTACTTAGGTTAGAGATTAAGTTAAGCAGTTCATAAAGCAGGTTTCCAATCCTTCATGCCGTGTAAGTGTTTGTCGTCTTGATCAACTTCCAATTCCAACATCTGCCAACTGAAGACCACAGCGCTTGGCTTTCTTGATTTATCACATTCTCTCCTTGTACACAAACTCTTCCGGAAGACTCCATAGTAAACTCTGTATTCTCTATCTTCTTCCTCTCTCGACTATCGTCTTTTTCATCTCTTTCTTCTCTCTAGGTATCGCAAGGTCAAAAGGTCATAGCCTTGTCATATCATAGCTTCCACAAGTTCAGTCAGCAAGCCATGAGGGTAAGCCCTCGGGCAAATCTCCTTCTTGTACTTCTCTTAAGCCAGCTTTTATACATTTACTTAGTTATCTAGAATGTTCTATTACTATTTATAGCGTATTACAAGTGGTAATTTTTTTTTGAAACTGCTGAGTCACAAAGAAGTTTCTGGAATATTATAGATTATAGATAATTCTAGAAAAGCCTGGGATTGCGTGACAGATTCAGTGAAGATAATTCGATCCTCGTAACATGGTCAAAGGACTCATTACACAGCAGTAAAACCAAAGTGGAGGAACCAGTAAGACTGAGAGCCCCTGCCCCCCCCAAAAAAACTGGACTCTATCAAACTGTGACAATCAGAGAGCTGGCAAGCTCAAAATGTATTAATTACAAGATGTGTACATCTATACGATGTGCCATGTTTGTAAAGTATTTTATTTGACCAATACATTATTTTTAGGGGTACTCTATTTAAGTACTCCATGGAGTGTGGCTCCGCATTTTGTCATCTCCCGAATCAAAATATGGCGTCCAATTTGAATTGCCATTGTTCTGGACTTATTAGCCTCTCACACGTGATAATCCTTTTGTGTTTCCACATAAAGATGAGGCTAGTAAGTCCAAAACAATGGTAATTCAAATTGGATGCCATATTTCGATTCGGTGAATTGCACAGTAATTGTGTTAAAATGATCAAATCTTGATCGCAAAATCACTAGTTTATCGTGTAATAAGTTTTCTTAGCAGCGCAAAAATTGTGAAGCATACATTGTGAATCCATTGCAGTGCTATGATGAATTTGTTGCTGCTGTGATGTAAATTTTTAGTTTTAGCCAATCTAAGACCACTTAAGTAAGACAGCAAGATCGTGAATTATTGTCATCTGTCCCTTCATTGAGACTGGGCAGATTGCAATACCGTTGGAAAAAAAAAAGCCACAAAAGCAAAAGATCGCGAAACAGTACCAAAGAAGAAATGTCATTTCAACTGTAGCGGTTCAAATTGTATTTCTTGTCAAGTGTGTAACGTTTGCAATCCAAGTGACAGTTGGGAAATTTATTAAAGCTATAATTGCTTTGCTATAACTCCTCTTGGTATGCTTGGACTTTTAGTACTAAGTACTTGTAATCCATAGAGGCGGTACATTGTTTATTTCTTTTGCCCTTTTAATGAAACAGAACTCTTTTTAAATCTCAGGTCTCCCCTCCTTTCAACCATTCAGCTTTTAAATTTAATCAGCAATTGAAGAACTCCCCTGTTAATAACACAAACAATTTAAAAAACCTAAAACTTGACACAGAAATAAATTCTGCAAAATCTTGCATTGTATTTCCCACAACCAGGTTTGCCTTTTTGTTCAACAGACACTTTTTTTTTTTTAGATGATGGATGGTGCTTGGTAGATTATGCCATGGGCATAGGAGGAGGTGCAATAGCAGTAGCTGCAGCCCCATTTGCTCTATCTGCTATAGGATTCACCACTGCAGGTGTTGCTGTGGGTTCAGTTGCTGCTGGTATCCAGTCTGCAGTATATGGGGGAGCTGTGGCTTCAGGCAGCATATTTGCAGGCCTTCAAAGTGCAGGTGCAGCTGGCATAGGAGTGAAGGCATCTGCTGCTATCTTTTCTTCAGTTGCAGGAGCGGCCACTTACATCAAGAAAAGCGTTGCTCCATGTGAGGAAGGATCAAAATGTTATTCACACCAGGAGTAACTTAGACTGTGGAATGACTTTCATATATTGGGAATGTTTTGTAATTGATTGCTTATAGTTGTGTTAATAGCATTACATCAGGGCAGTTTCAGGAAATTGCTTAAGTTAAGAATATTGAAAATAACATTAAATTTCCACACAACAGTTCTTTAGTTTCCTATTGTCTCCTAGAGATAAATTCATAATTAAGAAATATTTGGATCAAAAAATCCTCCACAGACCTGCATTGAATTCATGAAAAGTAAGCTTTTTTTCTTGATAAGGGATATATATTGATAAAATAATTTTTTTACATAATAGCTGAGCATTGCATTGGCCAAGTTCTCCTTCTGCATACCAGTAGTCTCAGTTCCAAGACATTAAAGTTAAAGTCCATAAAAAAGGCAGTTATGTGGAATCATCCTATCGAACAAGCTTGATCAGGAAGGAATTTAGTGCATGGCAAAAGTATTACACTAATGAATAGTATGATGAGTATTACACTAATGATATGCCAATTAAATTCACAAATTTCACCAGTTTTCTTTATTTTTACTGTGTCTGAAGCCCATGTTGTTGCTGATATTACCGGAATGTTTTCTCTTTATTTGAGGAGAAAAGTGTGATTTGTGTTAAGTGGCTGTGGCCTTCTTCTCTCATTGCAGGATCAAAGTGCTTTACCCATGCCTGCAATGCAATCATGAATAATGGAAATACAAAGCATTTCCCCAGCTACTTGCATGCAGTTACAAACTGAATCCTCCCATGCATGAGGAATGCATGTAAACAGAAAATATGCATTTATATAAAGGACCAACATGACTTGCTCATTAGGGAACCATGGGGTTCTGAGGATTGTAATTTGCAAATAAGCCCAGTGTATGAAGCGGAAAATAAACAGCTCACAATTGATCATCAAGGGTCAAACTAAAACCTTTAACTTTCCTATCTTAAACTTTTCCTCGGGCTCGCAATTTGCGGTCAGCCTCTACCAGTATAGATGCTGCTGTCATGTGTCTTCTCATCACCACATTCAACTCTACACCAACCTACAAAAGAGCAGTGAATCCAGGCCATCCTTACAGGAGGCTTAATAACTTTCCACTTTCCAGTTAAGCTAACCACGCACGAGAGCAAAACCTCTCGATTTGACATACCTTTCCTGACATTTTTATAGTAATTCCTCTCGTGTTTTTAAGGGAAATTGGTTGCAGTTGAAGAAAGGCTACTTCCGGATAAATTCTAAGTATTTTACCGGAAGTGAGGTATCGGCCTGTGGTAAAAATAAAAACATGCATTGATATTTTATCGATATAAGTGAAGACAAGAAACTATGGCGACCCAAGGAGAAAACGAAACAACCGACAGAACGCGGCAAATCTCAGGACACATAAATGTAAGACAACTACCAGTGAATTTCTGGTTAACAGTTCTTAAAGCTATTTTGAGGAAAACGCGCATCAAATCTAACAAGCTAGTGAAGAAGTTCTATTTTCGAATTTCTGATTACATTTTCTTGTTTTCTGTCAGAAAGTATGAGTTAAAATTTGCAGCTCGGGATGACTAAAATTTACCCTGAGAACCAGTTCTTGTGATTTCTGTAAAGCAAACAATTTTTTTGAAAACAAAGGAATTTTTTCTGCTGCCTAAGTTGTCGAGATGAGTGGGTGAGAAAGTGTAACCATAGAATTCCGATCTTGACCCAATTATTACTACTTATTTTGTTTTTCGTAGTATCTTAGTAGTTCGACATTTGCACTCGATATACAGATGAGTTCTTTCCTTTTGTAATTTCTAGCTTGTAGACATGAAGGGCAGCTGAAGACGATATGCATCTCACAATCAATTCAGGATTTCGCGCGAATTTACTAAAACGACAAACATTTTTCTTGCAGAAATATCTAAGTAGGGCTCTTCACGAACTGCAAGGAATATCTTTTCATTTTAAGAGTGAGCATTTTACCGTTGGAATCAGCAAATTATATAGATCCATAGGTACAATATCTTAAAAGCGTGTCCACGAGAAAACCGGGCAGAACAAGGTAGGGGCGATAATGTTCAAATCACTGATTTGGCTCAAACTTGGCACAAAATTAATGCTAAATATCATGTCGACAAATCTGTAAAAATAATAGGACAAAATATTTAATTCCCTGGGAGGTACAGGGCCCCCCTGGGAAAACTCCGAAGCATAATTAATTAGCTAACTTCGCATTGCTGCTGTGCGAGTACTTATTTGTGCCAAGCATGAGCCAAATCGGCGGTTTGAGCATAGTATCGCCCCTTGCCCGATTTTCTCGTGGACACACTCTTAATAATTTCATAGCAGCATCCACCGTCGTATTATATATATCAAAATTTTTCTCGGTAGAAATGTCTCAATACATGTCATCTTCGCATCATGGAAGCTTTGAGGAATGTATTTTTTTGTATTTAAAAAGGGAGCATTTCACTGTTTTAATCAGCGGCTCAAGCTGAAAAGAGCTGCTAAATTTGCAAAGCGAGCAAGCTATTGTAAGTTGTTTACATTTAATTATTGGAACAGGATACTCATAAGGATGCGGCAGGTTTTTTTTTTGCATGTGAGATAGATATGTATGATGAGTTAGAAAAAACAATGACTACGACTACGTATTTTTCTACTCAACATATATTGTGCTCTACTTTTTTTTGTATCAAGCGTTGTACTACGAGTTGTGGAGGCGCGGTGGCCTCATTGGTGGGTGCGCTCGACTCCGGATCGAGTGGTAAATACAGAAAAAATCGAAACGCCACGACTTCCTTTATATACAATAGGAAGAAAAGAACAAAATAAAAGCTCTAGAAAGATCCGTTTGTTTGCATCTGGCTCCCTAGCAAGAGCCATCTCAGGCTGTTCTTGTATAATTTTACAAATCAATTTAAAATATTCAAGTAACCCACGTAGCCCAGGGCTGTGTTCGTTTCTTTTGTGGATCGAATATGCCCCAGCTAAAACTGGGGAATATCCAAGGATATACCCCAAGTGATATTCTCCAATTCTTTAACCTGACGCCTGCTGCGATAACAGGGTTTACTTAAAATTTAAGTCAAGATGAGAGATAGGCCGCCACATATCTATTAACGAAGTTGCGAATTGTTTAGCCACTTTGGACACCTCTAAAGCGTGCGGCCCCAACAACATTCCTCCACGCCATCTAAAAGAATGCAGCAATCAAACTGCACCTAGCCTTTGTGCACTTTTTAATCTCTTCTTACGAACTGCTCGCATACCGTCTGAATGGGAAAAAGCTAACATCACACCGGTGAATAAAAAGGATCTATGGAACCGGCTGAAAATTATAGGCCTATTTCCTTGCTATGTACCCTAAGCAAAGTCCTGGAACGCTGTGTCTATATTAAACTCGCAGATGATCATGCTAAACAATTCATCAGTCCTCTCCAGCATGACTTTCTGCGAAATCGCTCCTGCGTCACGCAGCTGTTATCCGCTGTTCTTAATTAACACCACTGGTCATAACCTGGACAAAAATATTCAAACAGATGTTATTTAACTGGACTTTGCCAAAGTTTTCGATTCCGTCGATCGCTCAGTTTTGCTTCAAAAGCTCAAACGACATGGTGTGGAGGGCGGCACGCTTACCTGGGCGGCACGCTTACCTGGGCGGCACGCTTACCTGGGCGGCACGCTTACCTGGGCGGCACGCTTACCTGGGCGGCACGCTTACCTGGGCGGCACGCTTACCTGGTTTTTCAGATTACGTTGGTGGAAGATCTCAAAGGGTCATTTTGGATGGTATTGCCTCGCAATGGGCCCCAGTTACATCGGAAGTTCCTCAGGGCGCCTACTTGGCCTAGTTCTGTTTGTCCTATTTATTAATGACTTGCGAGGTGTTCTACCGGGAGGTACTCAATCTGCTCTCTACGCGGACGACACCAATGTCTTCAGTTCTATCCCGTCTATAGCAGATTGTGAACGACTACAACAGGCTCTGACAAACCTCCATTCCTGGAGTCACGACAATAACATACGATTCAATGCCCCTAAATGCAAAGTTCTAACTATAACGCGCAAGAAAAAGCCTCTACTTCAAGATTACTTTTTAGGCCCTGAAAAGTTACCGTGCACGCGCGTGAGGAGAAGGATCTGGGTGTAGTTATCTTGGACAAACTTACCTGGGATTCACATGTACACCTTATTACAGCAAAAGCAAACAAACTTTTAGGCCTTGCTGAAGAGATCGTGTTACTTGTTAACTAAAGTGGCAGTAAGAAGGTCCTTGTACTTAACGATTGTGAAGCCCTACCTTTGTTAGGCTACTGAAGCCTGGTCTCCTGCTTAGATGTCACTAAAAGTTAAGGTTGAGCAACTGTCCAGAGACTTGCCACCAGATGGATTTTAAATTTGAAGCCAGGCCAGATGTCGTCTGGAGAGAGACTGCTCGCCTTGGATATACTACCTCTTGCTTACGATAGAGAAATTAAGGAGTTCGTTTTCTTTTACAAAGCTGTTTACGACTACACTGATATTGACGTCTCTGATTACGTAACTTTTAACAATCATCCACGTGGCTGTTATCTCACTTTTTCGGCTTGTAAAACCAGCTCTTTGCAAGCCTCATATTTTGTCCGTATTGTAGAACTGTGGAACACGTTATGCAATGTAGCCTTCCTTAGTAGTTTTACCTCTCTTAGTTGTTTTAAATCGTTTTTGAAGAACTTGTATAAGTCTCTTTTGATGAATGTCTTTGATAAGGACATGGTCTGCTCATGGTCAATATCTCGCAAATGTTCATGTCACTACCTGAATATATATACATATATTATATATAGAACTAACTGCAGACAGAACTGTTTCGGCCTTCTGGGCCTCATCAGTGCAGTGCAGTGCAATGCAGTCACCCCAAACGACCCAACATTTGTGGTATCGTCTAAGCCGTCCCAGAGTGCTCAAACATTTGTATATTTTTAAATTTTTCGGATGTTGCCCAATAAAGCTTGACTACGACATACGACATAGAGAGTGTTAAGCTGATGTTACAAACGAAGGGACATGTTTGTTTTTTTCCATAAATTCATACCAAGAACACTGAGAAATAAACACCCCACTAAGCAAACATTAAGATTCCTTAAGAATTTTCCCACGCATTGCAAAAATATTTGAAGGATAACGAAGACAATACTAAATACCATTTGGCAGGAAAGGATGCTCAAATATTTCTCCTTGGACATTACCTGTTTCTTGAAGGTCTCGATCAGGCAGTCTCCACAGCTTGCTTAATGCTTTGCTTTGCTTTGTTTTAGCAAAGTGTTACAAATACTGTTCCCTTGTTTTGCAGGGACCCACCTTCCCAGAGCACCTCGTCAACCAGTCAAGGGGATCCAGCAGGAAACATTACACCACCTAATGGAGGTAATTTTTAATTTCTGATTGCTTTAAAAAGCAGTCAATGGTTGAGTCGATGCTATTACTCCTTGTGAATGGGATGCTGGTCCATTACTGTTTTTTGCAGTGCATTTCTCCAGCGTTTTTTTCCTGCGCGGCTAATGGCAACCCAGCTACAGAAAGAACCGCTGGTGTTTTATAAAGCCCTCCTCTCTAAGAAGCTCCCACTTCCTTGTCCAGAACTTCAAGTTTGTGGTAACCTTGCCCTCTCAATTAACCAACTTCCCTCATCCACACCAAACTAAACCTCAAGAATGGCAAGACTTGAGAAACTTATATAAATGTGTCAATAGTTCTAAGCAAGTGGTTTTATTGTCAGTGATGGTTTTCTTTTTTTTCTTTCTTTTTTTGCATAGGTGGCTTTTCAGGTGCAAATTTACTTCTATTTGAAAGCCTGGAGGAGTTCCTTTTTACAAATTACGGCTTGTTTAACCAAAAAATGCCTAATATGCAAAATGCAAATAAATGCAAGATATCAGCAGAAAAACTATGATTCGCACTGTCGCCTTCAATGAATTTTTTAAATTAGCCCCTTCATGAATTAAGTTTGCAAACCCAACAGTGGTGATAGTGGCATTTTCAAGCGTGAATGTATTTTAATTGTCTGTATCAAGAATTCAACAGATTTTAGGAATCTGGGTTCTTTTATAAGAATAAAGAGAAAAACACGAATAAGTTAGTGGAATGAAAGGCGTTCTTTGATACCTGTGGGATTTAGACTGCCGGTTTGAAAGATGAGCTTTTGTTCAAGAGTTTTACGGCTTTCCGTGCTATCTAAGTGTAAGGAAAGACCGCAGATTGCCATATGTTGCTTAGAATGATTAGGTAAATTAAAATGTCTAGCGACTGGTTTCGATGTGTCCTTGTCATTCCTTTCCACGTCTCGAAGGTGTTCTCGGAATCGGTCACCTAGTCTTCTGCCTGTTTCGCCGATGTATATCTTTTTGCAATAAGTGCAAGTTATGCAATAGATTACATTGGCGGAGGTGCACGTGAAGTGATCGGTGATCTTAATGGATCGTTTAGGTCCCGATATTTTATCAGTGTTGTGAATGAAAGGACACGTTTTGCATCGTGCACGAGCGCATTTAAAAGTGCCTGGTTGGTCATTAGTCTGAGAAGAACTTCTGACCAAAAAATTGCCTATGTTTTTGTCGCGTTTGAATGAAATGAGCGGAGGCTGCGAAAAGATAGTGCTTGTCTCTGGATCGTTTTGAAGTAATTTAAAGTTTTTAAGAATGATGGATTTAACTGAGTGGTTGTGAGGGTGAAACGTGAGAGTGAATGGAATGCGGTCGGAATCTTCCTTATGTTTCAATTGAAGGTAACGGTTTATGCACTAGTGTGTATTACAAACCTACAGACTCGCATAATTACTTGTTATATTCGTCTTCGCATCCATCTCACGTTAAGAATTCCATTCCTTTTTCTCAGTTTCTAAGACTTCGTCGTTTATGTAGTGATGACTCTGATTTCCACCACAAATCAGAGTCAATGTGCCAGTTTTTCGATAAACGTGGTTACCCTGTTTCTGTCGTTCAAGCGGGTTACCACCGCGCCCAACTTATTGATCGACATTCAGCACTACAAACGTCGCATAAGGAAGATTCCGACCGCATTCCATTCACTCTCACGTTTCACCCTCACAACCACTCAGTTAAATCCATCATTCTTAAAAACTTTAAATTACTTCAAAACGATCCAGAGACAAGCACTATCTTTTCGCAGCCTCCGCTCATTTCATTCAAACGCGACAAAAACATAGGCAATTTTTTGGTCAGAAGTTCTTTTCAGACTAATGACCAACCAGGCACTTTTAAATGCGCTCGTGCACGATGCAAAACGTGTCCTTTCACTCACAACACTGAGAAAATATCGGGACCCAAACGATCCATTAAGATCCCCGATCACTTCACGTGCACCCCCGCCAATGCATAACTTACACTTATTGCAAAAAGATTTACATCGGCGAAACAGGCAGAAGACTGAGGTGACCGATTCCGAGAACACCTTCGCGACGTGGAGAGGAATGACAAAGACACATCGAAACCAGTCGCTAGACATTTCAATTTACCTAATCATTCTAAGCAACATATGGCAATCTGCGGTCTTTCCTTACACTTAGATAGCACGGAAAGCCGTAAAACTCTTGAACAAAAGCTCATCTTTCAAACCGGCAGTCTAAATCCCACAGGGATCAACGAACGCTTTTCATTCCACTAATTTATTCGTGTTTTTCTCGTTGCCATGTTCCCACCAATCACGTAGCTCCATTTTCTGCCTTTAAAAGCACACACAATCCACAATTCTTCCGACGAAGGGCTAACGCTCGAAACGTTAGCTTTTATAATCGCCTTTTTATAATGGCCAATTTACCATTTCAACTTTGTTGATATATTGAAATTATCCCAGTAAGAGGGCCTGCTTATTACTTTTATCTTCTCTTCCATTCAGTAAAAGCAAGGAAACTTTGAAGTTTTTTGTTTTTTCTTTTTTTTTTTAACTTCTTTGGAAGCGCTACTTGAGGCTTCTTTTCCCAATTTTCAAATTTTAAACAAGTTTAAGTGGTGCGAGTGACTCATTATTCAGTAAAACTGTAACCGAGATGACCGCATGCGACTTAAGTAATCAATAATGAATATAATATCTAAATGATCCAATAAATTGCTTTAGTCTGCCGACAAAAGTGTGGGGGTTAATTTGTTTAACGAAAACTAATAACTCTTTCAACATCAATTAAAACTATATTTTATAATAGAGTAAGCAAGGGGACACCGGTTATTAAGTCCCACCAGATTTTTTTGGTCTATGTTATTTTTTTGCCTCATTCCAACTCAACCTATTGAACAACAAACTTTTTTGGTATTTTTTGGTGTTCTAATCCATCATCTCCTGCCAATTAATATTACAATAGCATCGATATGGCAGCCTTTGTTTCATGGTATACTGGGGCTTTGAAGTCCATAGCAAAACTATATCTACTTATACAGACATCGTAACCGAAAATGAATAGAACTGTGCACTAACCAGGTTGGTTGAACATCAAAGAACTTACAGGAATCTATCCAGTAGGAATCTCAGAGAAGGTCAGAGAGAGAAGTAAGTCCAATGTGTTACCCGGATACGAAGTGACATGAGCGGCTGCATACATGAGTCTCTATCAAGCCGCTGTGCAAGTCGTCTTTCCACTGGCCCGGGTCCTGGCCTGGCTGAGCGCTTACATTGAAACTGAAACTTACATTGAAACTGAAACTTACATTGAAACTGAAACTTACATCAGTTGCGCACGATGGAGTCGGACCTGAATGTCCTTTGATTTTGAAATGTAGTGGAGTGAAAGCAGAGCAATCATAACGATGGCGTGTTCAAGCGTGTCCACTGCGGCAAGCAGCGAAGAGGTGAAGAAAGAACAGAGGCTTATTGATGTCATGTTCCTCTGTGACGAGTGGAAATCGTCCAAGGGTGGATTATCAACTTTCAATCGAGAATTTGCTATGAACTTGGCAGAAACGACAACTGGTAGTATGAAAATCCACTGCTACGTTTCGCAAAGCGATGATCGAGACAGAGAAGATGCCAAACAACATGGTGTCAATTTGATCACCGCTGAGGCTGTTCCCGGATCGCGTGATTACTTGGATTGGTTAAAAGTTCCACCTCCCGAGCTTCAGCATCCACATGTTGTCATCGGTCACGGCAGAAAACTTGGAACTCCAGCGTACCATATTCAACGAGCTACAAGCTGTAAATGGATTCAATTCGTCCACGTCTTTTGTGAGGACCTCGGGAAATATAAGAACACAACCACGGCTGCAACAGATACGATCGAAGAGAACGAGGAGAAGCACAAGATGGAGATTGAGTTGTGTAGAGCAGCGGATGCAGTTGTCGCCGTTGGCTCCCGTCTACAAGAGAAGTACTCCAGAAGTCTCCTTAATGTGAAGGTGGAGATTATTACTCCTGGGATCTTTGGAAATTTTTCCAATGAATCAAAGTTGGCTGTAGACAGATCAGTGGTTAAGAAGTTTAACTTGTTTATGTTCGGCCGAGCTACCCTGGAGGATCTTTCCCTCAAAGGATACGATATTGTCGCAAATGCTATAGGTTCTCTTGGTAAGAACTTTCAGCTGACATTTGTTGGCTCATCTCCTGGTGAACATCGAAAAGTTGAGCAATGGTTTCTTGACAATACTTGCATCAACCGCAACCAACTTACCATCCGTGGATATTGCAGTAAACAAGAGGAACTTAAGATGATGTTCTGCCAGTCAGACTTGGTTGCTCTGCCATCCCGCACCGAGGGATTTGGGTTAGTGTCGGTCGAAGCCATTTCTGCTGGCGTTCCTATACTTGTGTCTGATGAATCTGGCATAGCTGAGGCTTTGCAAAAAGTAAAAGGCGGAAAAGCTGTCATTGTTGGATCAGATGAAGATGCAGATGAATGGGCACGAAGGATTAGAGCGATCTCTGAGGAAAGCGCAGAAGTGAGGGAAGCCAATGCCCTGAAGTTTCGGGAGAACTACAGGAAGGCTTTTTCTTGGAGAACAGAATGTGAGAAATTTAAAGGAATGCTTGAGAGACTAATGCAAAAGGCACCTGGTAGGTTCATTGCCTGTTTTTTTTTTTCCCTCACAAATCTCAGGTGCATGTGATGTTATTTTATCCTAGTGTAAATACAGGAGTTTTCTGCAAAAAGGTACATATTTGTACTGGTAAATTGTGCAGGTTTCACGAGTTATTTGTGGAAATGTCTTGATATGGATCAGCCAGCAGTTATATTTCTCCTACAATCACTACACTCTAAAATTTTAATTCCTAAAATTCTAATTCCTAAAATTTTTTTCCATCCTAATTGCAGATATGAACCATTCCCCATGGGTGCAACTGAGCTACTTATGATTTTTTTATTTCATTTTAATTTCCCAAGGCTAAATATTCTCTCTAGAATCATCTAGTGCTCAGCTTAAAGTGATTTAGGCCAGGCTAACATGAAGTCAATGGAGGGGTTTCAACGATGGGACTCGCAAGGCCTTAGGGAGGTTTGAAGGGGCATTGCCATATTTTCATCTTGGTTTTCTTTGCTACAGTCATTCCAAGCATACTGTGTGTGATTTCAGCATTTAAAAGTCATTAACAAGAATATCTATTAAGCTAAATATGTGTTGAGGAGAGTACAGGACAAAATTTCCTTGGTTTGAAATGTATTCCTTTTTCCATTGGTATTGAATCATTCTTGATTATTGTTCACTGAAGTTGATATCCTCAAATAGAGCACAATTGTAATGTAGAATTACATGTACTGACTACCCAGATGGTGTTGTCAAGTGACGATATTCCACTGGGAGAGCATCATTATTAATTTTGAGCAGCAGCAGTTGCTAAGCTTTGATATTTTGAATTCTATGATAAGGCTGCTTGAAGTGAGGCTAAAAGCAAAGCTAAATGGGTTAAAAAGGTTAAGAATGTACAAGTAAGCAATTGCATCTCCCTTCGTAGGCCAGGTTGAATATATAAACAAAGCAAGCATTCTTCAAGAAAACTGATCTTTGTAAATGGCTTGGTAGTGAAATGGCATGATTAGAAAATATAGAAGACCTTGATGGCATACAAAAATGATTAATAGTGGGTTTTTTTTCTGAGAACCACTGTTTTACTGAATTCTTAACCAGAACATAACTGTATAATCTTACAATAAAAGTTTTGTTTACTTTAGGATCACTGAAACTCTGAAAAATAAGCAAAACTAGGAAATTTAACATGTTTACTCCCAATTTTCACTTCAGCAAACATATACCTATATAAATGAATAAAGACTGATAGTTTCGAAAGAAACTGTTTGGGGCTACGTTAGTGGGGGTAATGAAATAATTTGGATATATCAACGAAGTTGAAATGGTAAATTGGCCACCATAATGATTGCAAAAGCTGACGTTTTGAGCGTTAGCCTTTCGTCGGAGCGAATAGAGGAATTGTGGGTTGTGCGGGCTTTTAAAGGTGGAAAATGGAGCTAAGTTATTGGTGGGAACATGGCAACAAGAAAAACAATTCTTATTCTTATTTTTCTCGTTGCCATGTTCCCACCAATAACGTAGCTCCATTTTCCACCTTTAAAAGCACGTACAACCCACAATTCCTCTATTCGCTCCTACGAAGGGCTAACGCTCGAAACGTCAGCTTTTGTAATCGTTACGGTGGCCAATTTACCATTTCAACTTTGTTGATATATCCAAATTAATATATACCTATATAATTTCCATTTTTAGTAGGGATCTTGGCAATCGGATAGTTAGTACATTTAGCAACTTGATGTGGTACACTAAATGTTGAATTAGGCGATCATTATAATTTTTACTTGTTACAAATCAGCAGATGATGAGGTAAATATTATTACTGAGGTGGAAGACCTGAAACCAACTGAATCCATTAATCAGTCCACAACTTCAATATCAGAGCCTGTGGCATGTCAAAGGGCTGATGACCAGAGAGCATCTGCTAAATCAACTTCAATGGGAGGTGCATCTCATACAGGAAAAGAAGATATCCAAGCTCTCAAAGAGAGAGCTTTTAGTTTAATTGTTGTTAACTATCTTGAAACGACACCACCCCAGTGTAGTGATGAGCGCAACAAGTTCATGGAATACTTAGAAAAAATGCAACTCATCATGAAAGGTTTCCGTTCAGGAAGTTTGGTGATAACAGTGAAGTGTGAATCTCTCCAGATCTTGGATGAATTGTGGAAAGATTATTCATCTGGTCATCTTGGCGAAGTGATTCAAAATTGTTTAGTCACCGAAAAGATCTTGAAGGAACTGAACCTGGTAGAGATGAAGTTGAAAACAACATTGGACAAAGAAGAGTACAATACATGTAAAGTGTACTTTGAGAGAGTTGGATGCAGAGGTTAGTACTGTACAAGACCAGATCCTCTCAAAACCTATTTGAAGAAGTATCTCTCTTTCATCATGTTGCAATATGAAGATATTGGTCTAGTTTCTATCAACACAGTTCATGTCATCTAATAAAAAAAGTTTCTGTGCTGACTGTCTAAGTCCTGCAAGAAGTGATTTGTTGGCAAGATGTTAGTCAGTATCTGAACTTTTGCTATGACTTGGTTGTACTTTTCTTCATATCCTTATTTGTTTGTCTTTATGTTTGTGTTAAAAGAAAAAACCTGATGGTCTTAATTATTGCTTGAAATAGTCCTTTTCTTCCTTTTGGTGGTGTTAATTTTATGTTGAATTATTCATAGCGGAGCTCGCAGCACACGCAGCAAAGCCCCATAGTTATACAAAGTAGTAGTAGTAACCCATCAAGCCTAAAAAAATTTGGGCTTATGACCATAGGGGTGTCTGTACAAGCTGCTACTTTTAGCATGTGCAGTCAACTGTACCAAAGGCACACCAATGCCATGGCTTTAGTCTTGTCCAGCAGACACTTGAGCATAACACATGCGCTACACTTGTACAAAACTGAGGAGAATCTGGGTTCAAGATGGATTTAGTGGATGGTACATTAAGCATACGTAGCCGAGAGCTGTGCAGGCTCATCCTCGCAATAGTCCATAAATATTACAAAAAAGTAGTAGTAACCCATCAAGCCGAAAAAATTTGGACTTGTGACTCTACAGGCATCTATACAAGTTACTACTTTTAGCATGTGCGGCCAACACCATGGCTTAAGTCTTGTCCTGCGGGCATTTCAGCACAGTGCCTGCACTACAGAGACACGGATAAGTTGTGAATGAAAATCCATTGATATTAACACACACTTTATTCATAGTTAGAGCTTTAGTTTTGTTGACAGGACATGCTGAAAAAAGATGTGAGCTCCTCTTTTAGGCGTAGCTAAATCTAAATATTAGAATTAATATGATAAGAATCAACAAGCAAATAAGATCAGTCAGCCATAGTTTCGGTTGATAAACTTTATTATGAATGGGGGTTATCTGCCCCAGAATAATAAGACCTGTGTAACAATTGTAAAATTGAAAATGCAGTTTTGGGGAAGGGTAAACTCATATAATTTGTTTTCTTTTATACTTTTTTCTAGATGCTTTGTCAGCTCAGTCATACTTCATAAATACTGAAGATGAAGCACAATTAGAAAGATGGAAACAGAACACAGAGGTTGTGGAGTCAGAGAAAGGGAAAAGTAAACACAACTCAATTTAAAGCTCATTAAAAAAATCGATTTTTTCCTTTCTCTGTCCATCAATATTGGGGGTGGTAAGGCAAGGATGAAACAGTGCAAGAGATGATGAAACACTATTCATTAATACCTCTTTTTTCATCTTTAATCGATGTGATGCTAACAATACATGTATATTGGAAATTGCTCTGTGTATAATATTTCTTTATTTATTTATTTGCTCTGTGTATAATATTTATTTATCCTTTGTTGTCAACTTTTAAATTGATTTGAAGGATGCTTTAATTATAATTACTCTGTGCACACTCCCTCCAAGGTACTTCACCCATTCTTGAAATGTCCTCCATTGGTGATGAAAAAGAAGGAGAAGAACTGCAAGAAACTATAAAAGGTGAATGGGAAATTCCATCAGCTTTACTTACATGTACTCTTTTATGACGGAATCAATTAACTGAGAATGCAGTTAAATGCTTTCAACTATTGTAAAGTGTTGTCTCTTAAACAAAATTCTGTCCAAATTTGTTTTGTCTTGTTACACCTTTCATTTGGAAGTTTTCATTTGTCTGTATCATGGCACTGTGAAATAGTGTTTTTATTTCAATTAATTCATGTGAAACTGGTCTTGTAATGATCCAAAAAGACACTCAAGTGTATGATACATTTGTTGAATTTTCCTGACATTACAGAATTTGGACACATTTTTTTTTCCTCACAATTTCATAGAATAGATATCCACAGCCGACAAGTGATGAGAATAAAGAAAATGTTAACTGGGGAATTTTTAGTTGATCTAATACCAAATTGTCCAAACTACATGTAACATTAAGGAAATTGTATGGTGGAAAGTAAAGAGAATTGAATTTACTAATAAAATGAGATCATGTGATCAAAAAGATTAATTTGTTACTGTATATATTTACTACATAGTTTTTTTTTGTAGCATTTTAGACTTTAAAGTTTTAGCACAAACAAACCTACAAGCATTTTAGCTGTAAATTTTTGCATTTTTGAACAAAGACTACAGGTAAGTATCTATCTATCTTGATCTTCACATTGGTATGCCTGTTGCTGACTGAATGCTAATCTCTCTATGCATACCTTTGCTGTTAGGCACCTGGCTAAATCTGTAGAGTAGTCAGTGGATGCTAATCTCTCCCTGTACATGTTTACTTTTAGGCATTTTTCCTCTCCCTCCATCTGTTAGCTCTGATACCAATGACAAACCAGAAGGCATATCCATGAAACTTCAAGGAACAGGTGAATGAAAGATACTGTTAAACTAAACTGACAAAGCTTTGAAATACTTCATTTCTCATGAAAGGATTAATTTGAAATAATTGAATAACCCCATTTAGTTGTCCCTCATTCCGTCCTTGAGTACTTGGGAATGTTTAGATGCTAGTGACTGGGGATGTTGAAACAGAATAATTAAAGATTTTTTTTAACTTGATCATAAATTGGGGATTTAAAAACTGACATTGCTTATGTTCATCCGTTGGTTTGCCATTTGTATCATTTTTCTATTAAAACAAAACACCTTGAATTTTAATATTGCACTGTACACTTTTACCCTTCACTGCTTCACCCTCAGCTGTACATAAGCATTATTGACCAAGCATGAGGTCAAGATGCCTGGATATTGGCAGAGTTATTATTATTATTATTATTTTTTTTTTTTGAAGAATAAGGCTAATATCCAGCCATCTTGACCGAACCAGGTTGGTCATTAAACGATTTATTATATAGCAAGAAGATAACGACTTAATAAGATTCAAGAATGACTTGTTTATTTTGAAAGCTGGGAAAGAAAGCTAACTGTGTTTTTAGCACAATAAACCCAAGAAGGTTGTTTAATTTTTCCTTTGTTTTGACTATCGTTTGCTGCTATTTGCAACTTCTCAAAGTTACGAACTTTGTAAGTCCACTCCGCACACGTTTTGTTCTTGCGCGAGATAAATATGTAATAAATTGTATTCTAGTTAATCATTACAATAACATGTAATCTGACTCTTCTTGTTTCACTCTCTAGCACATTTCTGAGATTTTGGCAATTTCTTTCTGTTAAACAGCGTACGCTTAACAAAATAATGTTAAAGAAAGTTTTGAGTTAGCTTGTGGAAATGAAACAACATACATTATATACATATATATAAACTAGTATGTGTATGTGTATGTGTATGTTGAATAGATGGTTTAACAGCTTTTTTGGTTTAAAGTTCATAAAGGCATATTTTTTAACAGTCGAAGAGAAATTTTATATTTTTGCGTGGCCAAGTTATATCCTCTATTTATGCATTAAGAAACTGACAGTGATGTAATTTAGATAAATTTTGTACACTCTATATATGTGGGTTTGACATGTTATCATGTTGCTGTTAAAGGTAGATGTGGGTTAATTGGGTTAATTGGGAATAATATGGCTAACTTAGGGTAGAAGAGGGTTAACGTGGTAGAACATGGCTAACTTAGGGTAGATGAGGGTTAAGGTGATAGAACATGGCTAACTTAGGGTAGATGAGGGTTAACGTGGTAGAACATGGCTAACTTGTGGTTGATGGGGGTTAACGTGGTAGAACATGGTTAAGTAGGACATGTCTAGGCCATACATGAAGCCTGTAATACTTAGTATTATGGGACATGTAATATATGGGACGTCTTATGGACCCAACATGAACGTTTTACCTACATTTAGGCAGTTTGAAAACCCGAAAAACTCTAGAAAAAAAATCTGTCTTGCAAATCGGCACTCTTAATTCCTACGGTAACAGCGAACGCTTTTCATTCAAATGATTTATTCTTGTTTTTCTCGTTAGCATGTTCCCACCGTATCTTAATTTTCTGCATATACAAAAACACACAAACCACAATTCCTTTATTCCCGAAATATGGTTCGTGCAGTTTGATCTTCTTTTTCAGATGGTGTCAACTGGGGCCGTGTAGCTGCAGTCACAGGTGGTGCTGTAGTAACTGGTGCTGCAGCAGTGGTAGCTGCTCCTGGGGTCCTTGGTGCTGCTGGTTTTACTGCTGGAGGTGTTGCTGCTGGCTCCATAGCGGCGGCTGCGCAGTCTGCAATTTACGGAGGATTTACAGGGGGTGTTTTTTCGCTTCTACAGAGTGCAGGGGCTGCTGGCATAGGACTGGCAGGGAATGCTGCTATTGGAGCAGCTGGTGCATCTGTTGGTGGAGCTTTATCAGATTTAGGAGCAAGATTATACGTATGTATCAGTGAAACGTTGTTTACCGTTTTATTGATAAATTGAAGCATTTTTGAAAACTATGTATGCCTACCAAACGGTCAACCTCGATGTTAATGCTATTGGGGTAGTTTTGAACTCTCTCGCGCTTTTTATGTGACAGTTAAGCTGTCAACGATAAGCGCTTTTCGACACTTGTAAGATTTAATAAGAAGTGTCTCCTTCCCCCGAAATTTGATATGTATTTATGATATATATATATATATATATATATATATATATATAATTTTAAGAATGGTTAAATGGCTTAAAAGCAATTTACATCATTTGCAGGGTAGTCGTGTTAAGACCATAAAGTTATTGATTTGTGGTGGAGGGAGTGATGCGCACGCATTTGCTGGCATAGCGTCCTCTCAGAAGGAAACTGAAGTTCGTGTGCTTACTTTATATCAAGATGAAGCAGAGCGTTGGAGCTCTGCAATGCAGACCCAGGATCTTGAAATTAAGGTGCATCACAAGGGACAGGAGCCAACGTTTATCAAATCTAAATCGGTGTCAATAACAAAGAACCCAGATGAAGCCCTGCGAGATATTGATTTCGTAGTCTTTGTCTTGCCTGCGTTTGCCCATGAAGATTATCTGATTGCCCTTAAACCTTACATCAACCCTGGAATGACCTTGATTGGTTTTCCTGGTGGACCTGGGTTTGAGTTTCAAGTCCATTATGCACTGGATGAGGCTGCGCAGCAGTGTACGATCCTAAATTTTGAGTCGTCACCCTGGATATGCCGCACCACAGAGTTTGGTGTGAAGTGCGAAGTTCTTGGCACCAAGAAAATTCTTTTTGGAGCCATTAAGGTGCGTTTTGATACTTACCGTTGATGACCTCTGGTGGACTCTAAATCTGTCATTCCTAGAACGGTATTATTTTGTGAAGAGTCGTGTTATGTCTAAAGTACACCTACTCCTGTGAAGGAAAATAATTTTCCTTCAATTCATTCAATTCTGGTTTTATTATGCTTATGAACTCACCATACCAGCAGTGATTTCCTTCGTAAAACTGTCCATCATTACCAGATCATGCTCACGTGGGTTTGCACTGAGAGGACTTGGTGGAGAGAGAAACTGACGTAAAAGACTTCCCAACTTAATAAGTCAATTTGAGAAGAGAACTGCTTTATGTGCAGAACGAGAATTCACTTCTAACAATAGCAAGGGAAAAACCTCCTGCTGCTCTCTAAATTAGTTTGGTTTATAAATTTAAAATGTTAACATGATAGTCTTTGAAGTCATTTTCCCTTCTGACTCAATACAATTCTGGTCAATATATAAACACTTTTTGCTCTCTAGTGAGAGAAATCAGCTAAGTTTAATAAGGCTGAAAACTGTTTTCGGGTAGCTGGAACCAAAGAGTGCAAGCAGTCAGGGCTCAACGCCAACGGTAGCCAACTAACCGCAGACTAGTAGAAATTCAATTTTGGCCAGTCGTTTTCCATTTCCACTAGCCAGTTTGGCTAGTAAACAAACTGAAATTGTCGTAATATCAAAGATGTCACGAGCCACTTGGCTACTAAGTAGAAAAGTCGGTGTAGAGCCCCAAGAGTGTTGACCTGTTTTCGCGGACGTCGTCCAGGATCTCGATTTGCATATTTCTTTTACATCGCGTGTTGCACCGCACAAAAGAAGTGAATTTGTCATATTTCTTACAACATCGAGATATCAAATTCTTCATGAAACGGTCGATAGGAGAAGTCACTTTGTAGTAAGTCTAAGAGAAAGTCCGGGTTAAAGAAATCGAAGGAACATGTTTATTTGTTGGCGGCATGACCGCATCGTAGGGAGCCGAAAACTCGAGATTTGTTTTTACGCGAATAACTTTTACTTTAATAAATAATTCATAGAGTATGCAGTTTTGTTCGATTTTGATGAAAATTGGCCAGATCATTTTTTAGATATTAATACACAAAAGCGTGTAAGGCTTTTTACGAAATTCGAAATATTTTTCCTGTGACCTCCCTACGCGTGACAACAACCGAAATATTTTCTATTGTCCAACTTTAAAATTGATTCTCTCAAGAACCAAGGAGAATATCAAGAAAGCCTTACAGCTCTTTTAGCCTAGTATTCTGCAGTGATACAGTCCAGTTGTTTGAATGTCCACGGTAAAGCGAAGGCTGGTAATTCATCAAACAAATACCGTTAGTTTTGTCGTTGTGTTCGTTTTTTTCATGAGATATACTTCATAATCAGTACAGTGATATATAGCTTTCCGTGGTTTCTTTTGAAACTAGCGCACGTTGGCTGATGTTTCTGGAGGGGACCTTATTTTGTTCACCATAACCTTAAAACAACATTCTCTGGTAATGAAGGACAATATTGGTTTGAGGTTACTGTCACAAGGTAAGTCACCCTCCAGGGACATCAGAAAAAACACCTTGTGCTGCTCTCTAACTTAGCTGGTTCACGAATTTAAAATTTTAACGCGGTAGCCTTTAAAGTCATCCTCTCTTCTGATTCAACAATAGTTCTCTTAAGACAACATTGTCAGGTAATGGCAGACAGTTGAAAAGATATTCCCAAGACGAAAAACGCACTAGTTGCCCATCAGGCATAAAAAGTTGGAGTACAGTGTCTAAAGAAAAACTGTTTTCCTTCATGCCAGTATCGATGTAATCTTCTCTGTTTGAGGTGTCAATTAGTCATGTTAGAGGGCATTGTGGAATGACAGGGGTGTCCACGTAGCAAAAACAATATTGCATATAATTATACTTAAAAATTACCATATCAAATATGAAATATGGATACAAAATTAATTAGCTTGTCTTTGTAGCGCAAACCATTTTTGATGCTTTTGACCCATACACTTTTAAACATAACGATGAACAACTTTTAAATCACATTTTCATGTCTTTCAACCCAGCGAGGAAGTGAGAAGCCAAAGAAGGACCCAGTTTCCAATCTACAGTACCTCCTGGGACCGCTCCCAGTATTGGATGTCTCAGGTCATATGTTGGGCGTTCAGTTAATGAGTGTCAATGCCTACCTGCACACCTCAATAATGTACGGCCAGTGGAAGGATTGGGACGGAGATACATTGGATGAGCCGCCTTTGTTCTATTGTGGCTTGACCGAGGTAGCTGCCACCTTTCTTTCCAGCGTTTCAGAAGAGATTGTGAAGATAAAAGAAGCAGTGGAAATAAAGACTAGAGAAGAAATGTCAAAGGTTAGAAGTTCTATATATATAGTGCATGTCCACGGCGTTGTTCAAATCATACTTTAGCTCGTTTCATTGGCGAAAGAAGAGACATAAAGGATAAAAACATCTTGAAACATGTTCAGAATACATCTGACTTGTCGATGGTAACCTGAACGATCTAGAATCCTGGCCAAAAGGTCTTCGGTACGGGAGTTCTGGCCATAAATATAGGTACTAAAACTCATCCCTGACCAACATACGCACCCACCTGGCTGCCAGTGAAGCAAACCGAGGCCAGTTGTTCATGAACAGGTAAAGTTTAGTATAGACGTGTGCATTACAGGCAGGAGAAGATCTGTTACAAAACTCTGCGAAAGAAGTGCATCGTCGATCCTTAAGACTTGCAGCCGGGAGACTAAATCACTTTATTCTTGATGTTATTTTCCTTGATAGCAGGATATAAACTGTTTTGAGGCTGTCCTAAAAATGTTTATCTCTTAGTTATTGATGTCCGTGTCTATATTCTCTAATTTTTGGCATGTCTTTAACAAACGCACCTAGCGTGTATTTCAAAGGATGTGCAATGTCAAGCTTATGATTTTATTGAAGGTTGTGCACATTCACATGTGGCACTTGCGTCGTTATGGCGACGATATCGTAGACAGGAGCACTCTTAAAACAGCCATACAGACCAATGCTGCCTACCAAACGATCCAACATCCAGTCAAGAAGGACAGAGATGGTAAATTGAGGCCTGATTTCACCTGCCGTTACTTGACAGAGGATGTACCTTATGGTTTGGTTGTCATCCGGGGTATTGCAGAAATTGTGGGCCTTCACACACCAAATATTGACAATTTACTGAGATGGTGTCAGCAGAAAATGGGCAAAGAATATCTTGTGAACTCAAAGGTGCAGGGCAAAGATGTCGCGTCGTCAGGAGCACCTCAGAGATATGGGCTGACCACACTTGAATCCATAATGTAACAGATTGGTTTGACTTGGAATAGCGAAGTAACTTTGGTTTCAGATTGACTTCAGTAAAATAGCCTTCAAAATTTATTAAAGATATGTTAGAAATTTATTTAACTATCTAAGACTTTGGGTCGGTAAATTGTAAGAGGTTGTATGGAACTCTTTTGATAAAATTAAGTTAATCCCCTCGAAATCAATATTATGTTGTCGGAGACGAAAAAAAGTTCCCTTCTTGATATTTATTGCGATATACAATATGGTTAAAGATAAAATTTTCAGTTGATATTGTTAAGGACAATAAAATTTATTTTGTAACCAGCACAAGATGTTTGCTCTCTAGTTTGTCAAGTAAAGTTGACAATACACAAACCAGTAATAATGCTAGAAATAAAATGAAACTTAGTTTTCAAAACTTCATTTCGTTAACAAAATTAAATTTCCAATTTTCTCTGATTTACTTTTATGGTTTTTTTTTCTTCTTCTATTACGAGTGTTATTACCCCGGTTTACTCCCTCACTTATTATTTTTGTTATTTCCCCATCTGCATGAATAAACTACGCCTCCTCGAGACCTCATTCGAAGAATATATCCAGTTAGCCTCTTTTGTATTAAACACTGCTTACAGTCTGAATAAAAGAGACTCGAGGCCGATGTTTTCCTTGTGCGGCCCTTACTTTTGGATGAGAAGAGATGTACTTTGTGTCAAAAATCGTCCTTTTACAGATTAATATTTGTAGCGATTTTAACCTTAGCATTTGCTCCCAAAGTTCTGTCTTTTAGGATTTGGGGTGTATGTCCACCTTTTCTTGTTTTGGGATTTGGAATGCTTGTCAGTTGCTGATCCCTGTTATAGGATTTGAGGTACTCTGCAGCTCTTCCATGTTTTTAGAATTGGGGGTGCTTTTCACTGTTCTGTAGGGTTTTTTCCGCTCTTTTGATGTTCGTGTTTTAGGATCTGGTGTGCCTTTCCGATGTTCCTTTTAGGATTTGGGGTGCTTTTCGCTATCGTGTACTTTAAGATTTAGGGTTTTTTTCCCCTCTTCTGCCTTTCCCTGTTCAAGGAATTAGTGATGCTCTTCCAACATGTCTGCTGTTCCATATTTTAGGAATTGAGGTGCTTTCCTGTTCTTCCGTCCCTTAGGATTTGGCAAGGGATCATAACTATTTACAATGTCCTGGATTTGGGGTGGTTTATTCGCCATTCCGTCTTAATAAATGTAGGGTTATTTTCCATCCCGTCATTCCGCCGTTCCGGCTTCATTTAGTCCTTTTAGAGCCGTCTAAGCGGGGCCTCCTTTACAACCTTATGTCGCTTCACGATATTAGGAAAATTTTAATGTAACCTTTAGCAAGGTTTGGATTTTACATCCGATAGATACCGAGGTACAGAAACAACCTATAATTTTGTTTACGACAATGAACCTTTACTTAACAAATAGAGAAGCCTTGCCCGACTGTGCTCTGCTCTGTTGTGATGCACGCAAAAGCAGCTGGAGTACGAAAGAAGCGTAAAGAGTAACACGAGAAGAAGTCTACTGTTTCTCCCCACCTCTTGAGTGCTCTGGCTGCATCTTAACTGCTTTACAACAGGACAGAGCACAGTCAAAGCTCCTCTATTTGTTTTACGATAAAGAATCCGTCAAATTCCCCAGGCGTTTCTTAAAGCTAGTCATGAACCTTTGTCCCTGACTACCATGGACAGCCTACCTAGCCAAGTAAGAAAAAAATTGAGTCTACTTAATTGTTCGCTCAGAAGCACATTTTCAGCTCAGACTGCAAACTTTTAGTTCTGTACAAGTATATAGATTTGGACAATTTAAGTTGAGCACTTAAGTATCCTTATTGAAATATACACTCAATTGCAAAATCGTTGAAGCTCAAAAAAGCGTAAATGTAATGAACGATGAGGCCCTACGGTTTTCTGAGTACACATCTATATGATAACCACCACAGCACTTGGTGAATGATGAAAGCTATCCAGTTTCTCTTGGGAAAAAAGGATTATCGCATCAAAAGTTTTTCATGAACGGTGAGAAAAGTGAATCACTGATTATGTATCAGCATGAACATTTCCCATAAAGCCATCGGGTCTCATCATTCATCAGGATCATGTTTTTCTGGTGTTAACGTTTTTGCAAATGCTTGTATCATTTATAAGATGATCACATGCTTTTCTGTTGTTGCTTTCCAGGTCATTGTCTCAGATGTGAATCAAGATGGCTCATTGGAAATTCTGGCAATAGACAACAGTGGCAATATTGCTTGCATGGATCTCAATGGGAAACTGGTTTCTGTTGCAATCTAAATCTCCTCTTTGATAACTGTCACTAACAATTATTACATTCTACAACACACAATTATGTTCTCCAAGAATTACAGTGTTTAACTTTTATTTTTGACTACATATAGCTCTGATGGGTCCTTATTTGAGACATTGGTTCTTTCCCCTCAATGTCTGAGATTGACATGTTCCTAATTCTCTCAACTGAAGACTGTTTTGCGACTCTTGTTAATAATCTCATGTTATATCATGAAGATAAACGCTGGTTAGTTAGTTTTTAAATCTCTGCCTTTCAAATCATTGGCAAGTGCAAACAGTTTAGCAATAACTATAATCTGGTTATAGTCCATAGATGATGATGTTCCTAATTCTAATTACATGTTCAGAGTATAGTGTTTGAAATTGTATGAAGAATTTTTGTACTGGTTGCCGCAGAGTGTACGCGGCCAGAATAGTGCAGCCAACTTCCTCTTCTACCGGGGGCCTACTCTGGGGCTATAGGTTGCCGTAACTGTGGGCGACTTTGGGTGATTTAAGGCGACTTAAGCAAAATTAGCAAAATAAACATTGCGACTTTAGGCGATTTAAGGCGACTTAAGACGACATGTGAAATTGTACGTGTATCTGATGTTTCCACAACAAATAACTCTAAACCTGTATAAAAACGACTAAATTCTACCATATGAGCGCCTGAGTAAACATAGAAATGCTACAACAACAACAACAACAACAACAATTTATTTCGCATTAGGGTGGGGGGGTTACAATGATTAAAAATTACTCAAGAAAAATAAAGAAAAAGAAAAACCTTACATAATTGACACTGCCCGCAAGTAGCACAGGCTAGTCGCGGCGGGCAGTGACAACAACTTGTTAAGAGTCTAAAGCAAATTACAAATGAAAAGATCATTACAGCTTAAGTATAAGAATGAAAAGAAAAGAAAAAGAGCAGATAAATAAATGCACAAATATATAAAATAATTAAATTAATTAAATAAATTCATAAAAATAAGACAATACAAACCATGGGTCTTCCGTTATCAAAAATTTATATGTACAAAGTGATTAAGCTGTTTATTTGAGCAAAGACAGCGAAGCTTAATTTCAGACGTCCATCTCGGTCGCTCACCGCTGACCATGCGTCTTGACATAAAATAACTATTCTTTATTTATACCTGATTCACCTTGGGCAACGAACTTATGGTGACTCAGCTAAACTACTAATGGAAGATGTTCGTGGCGATCAGACACACCCACTTGAGAAACACTTAGTAATACGAACACTTCCAACAAACCAGAATTACTGAGGATTAAAATTAAATAAAATGGGAGCTAGAGATCGTCTGATCGAAGAGCTCTGCATTAAACGAAGAAACGGTTTTCGATAGAATAGTGAGGACACGAGTTACAGTTGACGCTCGACTTGTCGCTGATGTTTCTTATAAGTTGGGATGAGGAGCTACCTTGGCTATCTAACACGTCAATGCGTTCTGTATTGCACTGAGAAAAACTCCTGCTACAACGGCTTGTCGATGATATCAAGAAACAAAACAAAACAATACTGTACATAAAAATGGAAAAGCTATAAATGATAATCAGACTCATTTTGCGCCTTATTGAGAATCAAAACCAGTGTTTCTACATTCACAGTACAAAGAGTCCTCGCCCTAATATCTTATTTTTATTTTATTAGCTTTGCCAACAATACATATAACCTATAACACAGCCGGATAAAATAAAATAGCAATAACAATAACGGGAAGGCAACCATAACAGCGATAGCCACTTACTGTGGTTCCAAAAGTATTAAAATTGTAAAATGATCATATCAATAATTAATAATTAAGAGCAACATAGAGTTAGTGTTGTTTTCAGGCTGCGACATGAATTGCATTTTGTACAAATAGTTTTATAAGTCCTGGGATTGTCAATGTCATAGATCTCTCGAAGTGCGGTCGAATAACAACACATCAAAACACGTTTAAGGTCACTCACATTGTTCATACTTAAGTTAAGCTCGTCAGACAATGTGTTCCAGATTCTTATTGTTCGTACAATAAATGACCGTTGAAAGGTTGAGGTCTTGTATTTAGGTACAAAGTATTTAGTAACAGTTGTATTGGCCGACGATCGTGCGTGTCTTGTAGAACGAGGAGTAGGAACAATTGCGGGGTCTATATCCACCAAACCATGGGTAATCTTAAAAAACAGTAACATATCTAAGTATTCATGCCAGTAGCTAATAGGTAGTAAGGAAAGAGTTTTTAGTTCTTCATAACTCTGAGAGCACGAGAATGGTAATTTCAAGATGTATTTTGTAGCCCTTCTCTGTATCTTCTCTAGATTTGAGATAAGATAAATAGATTGTGGTGCCCAAACTTGTGTAGCATAGCCCAGATGAGGTCTAACGATGGTTAGATAGATTGATCTTCTTACACTGGTACTTTGTATGTGACGCGTGTTTCGCTTAGCAAACCCAAGAAGCTTGTTTGCGCGTGAGCATTGCTCTAAGACTTGGCAATTCCATGTTAGGTCAGTGGAGACCCAGACACCAAGATCGCGTTCGTGACTTGTTTTCTCCAACATAGCTCCATTCATATCGTAGGCAGTATTCAGTGGCTTGATTTTACGTGTGATGGACTGGTGGTGGCTTTTCGTCTCATTAAATTCTAAGCCCGGCCGGATTCTGTGTACCAAGATCCAATATTATTTAAGTCCATCTGGAGAACAATTTCATCATCAGCAGATCTTATTTCTTTGTACAATTTAATGTCATCCGCGAACATTGCAGTTTCGCTCTCAGAGACCATGTTCAGAAGGTCGTTTACGTAGAGCAAAAACAGAGCGGGTCCCAAGATGGACCCCTGGGGGACTCCTGATGTAACAGGTATGCATCAGATGTGGCGCCAAGAACAGTAACGCGTTGAAGACGACCTGTGAGGTACGACTGGAACCATTCGTATAGTTTTCCTCCAAAACCAGAGATACAAATATTAGACAAGAGTTGGGCGTGGTTCACTTTGTCAAAGGCCTTTGACATGTCCAGATAGATGACGTCAATCTGACTTCCTCTATCAAGCAGGCGGCCAATACGATCCAATGTTTCGATGAGGTTGGTGGTACAAGATTTTCCTTTTAAGAAGCCGTGTTGATGTTTACCCACGTGGTTGT